TTCTTGCAGCATATTCTGAAATTCCCAAACTCCCTATTTTGGACCAAAGCTGATAGCAGTGATTGATTGTGTGGGTTGATTTCAGCACATCCATAGGGTCATCCAGTGAACAGATTGGTTCGGCTCATCTGCCTCTGTACCTGTGGGAGGGATGCAGGTACATGGGGTAATTTTTCAAATCTGTTAGGAGCTGTTTGCATGAGACTTCTGAGTGGTGAGAATGAACAGCCTGATCTACAGTGCGTGTGAACCAGCAACCTGCTGAGCTGTGGGGAGCCTGGGTGTGCCTTTGCTTCCCTGAGGCACTGCTGGGAGCAAAGGGGGCTCCCAAAGCTGGCACTGACTGATGTTTCTCTGCAGCTTCCTGGAGTTCCTCATGGCAGCAGCTGCATCCTGGGGATGTGTGTGTTGCCTGTCCCTAGGAGTGTGCAGGCAGGCCACAGTTGTGCTGCTTCTCAGGATCTGAGATGCGAGGTCTTATTTCTGGCTTCAGTAGCAGCTGGAAGCAGGAATTTGAATGTCTTCCAGCTGACATTTGATATGTAAGAAGTAATCTTTGCTTTCCTTACCTGTTTGTCCTAGAAATTTGCAGCGCCCTTGTGGGGCACACCGTGTATTGCCCCACTCACAGCACTGCCTCTTGTGCTCTTTTGGGTTTGAGAGGGGCTTGCAAAGGGCACTTGGCTGCAAGCTGGTGAGCGTGGATGTCAGGAGAAGGGATCGAAGCAACACGTCTGTCAGGTGCGAGGCAGATTGCACCATCTAATCTCCCGGCTGTCGTCTGCAGCATTTGTCAAAGCCCCCACTGCCCTGCTCCGTTTCATCACAGCTATCACTGGCATCCATCTAGGCTGGCAGCATTTCAACAGCTGTTAATCCTCTTTGTATCTCTAAACACCGTGACCACTGACAAGCTTCTATACTCTGAGGTGTCAAAATATCTCAAGATATCTGAGGTGATGGTGGTTGGGTTTGTTGGTTTTAAATCAAGACACCTTCCAATCTATTGACCCGAACTAAACCTGATGGAGAAATCTTTGTCCCAGTGTCAAGTTTTTAATGCTGCTGCTTAATGTTCACAAATAATTTCACCTGAAATCTGATTGGTTTTGATTTCCTCATGCTTGTTTTGCTCAGTTTTCTATTTTACATGTTACTGCAAGTAGCACGTTTCACTGAAGTTGTAAGGAATGTGGTTTAATGTCAGTGTGAGAATGAGCTGGCAGGGTTTTCTCTTTGTGTTTCAATTACTTTCCCTCCTGAAATAACCCTGAGAACTCAGTCTTCTGCTATTATGTTTTCTTACTTTCTTTGCTATATGTTCTGGAAAGGGCCTGGGCAGTGTAGTGAGGTGTAGTAGTGAGTGTTGGAGTTTCTCTGCATGTTTGCAGCCAAGGAGGAATGCTGAATTAAAATTACTCCAAATTTAGCTCTAAGTTTTAAAATTGATTCCCTTTGGAAGGGAATTTTTAGCACAAGGGTGTTTTGGGAGAGTGAAGAGCAAGGGCATAGCAGCAAATCTGTTGTAGAAAAACAGCAGGGTAAAGGAAAGTGGTTCTGTTGCACTTTAGGCTCTGGTTATGTATTTTTACAACTTCTTGGTGTTTTTATTATTTGCTACGAACCATCATTTAATAGCAAGGAAAAATCTTTCAAACTAACATTGCTTTGCTTTGCTTTGTTTGTTTGTCCTCTCTGGAGAGCTCTCTCCCCATATGACAAAGCTCTAATGTTCTGAAGTTGACTCCCCTAAGGCTCAGCTTTATTGAGAGAAGTGAAACATTTTAGGTGGTTCATTCATTCTTTCTGTGTCTTTTGTTATTTGAGCCTTTACGGTGTCCTTTGGTCCTGTTTTTAAACTTATTTCTGCAACTAAGACTGTCAGGAGCTTTATTTAATAATAGTTGAGGTCTCGTGTTCAACTTTTTCTTTGTGAGCTGCCATTTTATCTCAAGCATCAAATATTGTGAAAGTAAATTAAAAGCAGTGTTCATGTCTTGTAATTTCGTGTGGAATTTTCTCTCTTTTACTGTACCACTGAATATCGTTTTATGAAGATAAAGGACTTCACTAAGACTACAGACAGCTCAGACTTTGTTTCAAGTGCAAATAGCACACGTTGATCCTGCTGAATAACCCTTGTGTGGAGGCGACCCTGCTGAAGTTGGGGGAAGTGCTCAGGTGGTTCCTGCCTTAGCTCCTCATTTGCAACTATATTATAAAGCCCTCGAAAGTTCTAGGCCACTGAAACGTTCACTCCTGCCATAGCATGGTGGTAAACTGCTGAAAATGAAGCAGATCTTGTGTCTGAAGTAGTATAGATGAGAATACTTGGAAAATTACTCTCTGTTAGTAGAAGGCGCAGATCACAGAACCTGCTGTGTCTGTGCCCACGCTGAAAGGCCCTTCTCTTGCCCATTTGGCCCTTTTGGTGGTCATTTAATGTTTAGGACAAAAGGGAATGTGACTTTCCCAAGGTTAGAAAGGGTCTAAAGGCCAAGGAAAATGTGCTTTAAAAATCTGCTTGTTGAACAAACTCAGATTTAAATGGTAGCCTCCTGTTTTTATTACTTGGAGAAGGATTTAAAGGTACCGATTCATAGTATTAGAAATATTCATTGGGGTTTAGAGTTTTTGAAGGGGAGAGGTCTGAATCAACAGCAAGAGACCCAGTTGGATCACAGGGAAAGACGTTTCCTTTTCATTTCTAAAACTCAACAGCTTTATCTGTAGGTTGAAGGTGTTCTGTGCCCCTCCTCAATCTTTGCATGATGCCTGGTGGTTGCTTTGAGACCAAATTTTCCTCCTTCCCCTCACTGAGATTCTTGCCTCTGTTCAGGCTCTCACTTGCCTGCTTTTAGCAGCTGCAGAATTCAGAACCATAGCATGGGTTCCTTTCCCAGCTATTTTTGTCCATGTCCGTAGCTGATGTTGTTGAAGATGATCCTGACCGAAGTGCTGGGCAGTTGAACTCTCTCTAATAAACTTGGTAAGGCTGTGCCACAAGCACTTTAATCGACAGTGCATCCAGCAAATGATTCTGTTGGCTGTCCTTACTTTCTTTAGGTGAGTTAAACGCGACCTCATGCTGGGTCTCACGTACAACAGATTTGTTCCTGTTTTCCTCTCCTGCTGCTGTTCCACTGCAGAGTGCTGCAGGCTAATAGTATCTGACGGGACTGCTTCCTATTGCCTGAAAAATGTTTAAATTTGCTACCTTGCTTTCTCTTTTTCCCAGTTTCTCTCATTCTGATCTCTCAGATCCAATCCCTTTGAGAAATCAGACAGTATGAAATATGGAAATTGCTTGGGTAGTAATTGGAGGAACGGTGAGACCTTTGAAGCCCAATGGAGATAACGCTTACATCTACTTATTCACATTATTTAATTTTTAATGGCAAATTTAATTAATGAAGCACAGGTCTTGTGGTTTCATGTGTGAATAAGTAACAGCAGGGAGCTATAAGTCATGAGGTCTGTTTACAGGCCAGAGAAAAAGGCACCATTAAAAGCTGAACTTTTCAATATAGGAAGGAGAAAAATGGATTTAATAGCGTTGAAGTTTGACCACTCTGTAACAAATAAGTAAACAAAAACATTAATGATAATTTGCCGGTAAAATGCATTTTGAAGTGGTTAGTCCTTCATGATTTCTCAGCTTAAATCTGTCTCCTAGGTCAAAGTTTGAAAAAGAAAAATCTGTTCTGTGTTTCTTTGGTATGTAACATAAATTCAGGCATCAGAGATAAAACGCTTAAATATAGTACCTTGAAGCCCAGGTTCTGAAAATCTTTATAAACCTTCCAATTAGCTGAGCTTCACACAACTTCAGAGATACAGGCAGCTGTTATCCCTCACTTGCAGATGGAAAATAGTGACTTGCCCAAGATTGCACAAGTGGCAGAACCACTAATAGAACTTGAGTTATATCTGTCCTTTCCTTTTTCCAACCACTGAACAGTATGTGTCGGCTCATCATGCGCAGGACCACGGCTGCATTTATGGGAAAATAAATGAAGAAGGGCAAGAATAGTATTCTATATAAAATGACCAAATTCGGGGAGAGACGAGATAGCAGCTCCAACTGGCCCTAAACGAATAGCTGTCCTCGCTTTCAATACCATTTTGTCACTTTTTTTTTTTGATTGATTATTGCATATTTTCTGCTTGTGCCTTTTCAGAGTAGGAGCCTTGCAGATGAGCTTCGGGCGAGGCAGTGGCCAGTGGAGTCCAGTGGCTCTGCCTAAAGCAGCTTTATCAGCGGTTTAGTGACATGAGACCTTGTAGTGCAGTCGCTGGGGGAGTGCAGCCATTCTCTCCTGCTGATTGTGCCTGGGAGGCTCCTCAGTGCAGCCCACAGGAGGAATTCATCCTCCACATTTAGCACTGAACAGTTGTGAGCTAAAACTCTTTCTGTGCAAGTTCAGGAGAATTTAATGCAAACCTCTTAAGCCCTGCAGCAAGACACTCAAGACCCTGTTTGGCAGCACCTTAACTGAGACCTGATACGCCTCCCTATGTTGTTAGAAGGGAAACAGGCTGCATAATTTTCCTTTAAAGAATAAGTAACATAAGTAGAAGCACTGAAATGTAAAATGGATTTTCCAGTGCTAGCAGCCAATTTTGATACTTGCATGTCAGTAACTTACAAGATCCTTCACAGCAATTAATGAAAGAAGAGAACAAAATATGACCAAACTCAAAATAAGTCTGTGCTGGAAACGCCTTGTTTTTATGGTTACATGGAATAACCAAAGCTCATGGTTGGTTGGTAGTGACCTTTCCCCCCTCTTTCCCTTCCTTGGAATGAAGGATGTGTTGTGGCCTTGATGCATTTTGCTGAAAATAAAATCGACTCTTAAGTATTTCTGGTGTTCTTTGAACTGAATATTCTGTTTGTTGTTGGAAATTGTTATTAATTATAGAAGATGACTTTGTGACAAGATAAGATCTGAGACGCCTTTAATTTTTAGAGCTGAGCATTCTATTCTTTGTTTCAGAATGCAGAGATCTACAAGCTGACAACCGAGCAGTATCAGGAGGCAGCCACCAAGGCAGAGGAACGGATAAAGTGAGGAGCCATTTTTATTCTTTTCAGCAGTTCCAGTTGCATTTCATAACATTTTGTGTGTATCTTCTGCATGTTCCTGTAAACAGTGTGAAGTTACCTCCTGTCAGGTACTGAGGGGGCTGAGGAGGTGCAAGCTAGCATTCTCTCTGTGTCAAGCTTGACAGAGTTTAGTATAAAGTTGATAGATATTGCAAGGAAGGATGAGGGAGAAGAGAAGGACTTTAAAAATTAAGATTAAATAGGAATATTTACTAGGGTTTTCAAAATAGCAATGGAACGTGTTTAATCTGTTCCAACTTGGACCCATTGTATTTAACCTACACACTGCAGCATTGGGCTGGGAGTAGGAAGAATGGCACCACTTCTAAAGTTTTCATTGTCCAGGGGAAAAAACAGGCAAACAGTCTAAATCTTATCCCTGTTGGTTTCAAACTAGAGTTGTAATTTTCATGAATGCTTTTTTAGAATTATTGCAATCATTTTTCTGGTCTTTTTTATTGGTCTTTGCACAATAAGTGGGCCTTTAATGTTGCCTTTTTACCGTGAGCATGTATAGTATTTAAATTATATTTGTATTTGCCAGTAGAGTTATATAACTTATTGTTCCACATGCACTAACAGCTGCCCAAGAAAAAATATTTTCTATAATTCTTTAATATTAATGAGGCTAAAGCAATTACGCTGTCAAGAGCAGCACTCGGATCTCAGTTGGGTAAACAGTTGGCCAACATGCAATAAACTGGAGTAGCAGCATATGTAGTCCAGTTGGGTCCAATCCAGACTCTACAATACTTAATTGCATAAATAGATAATATAGTAATGATGAATATGTTAGTGGGGTGTGCAGTATATTGTGTTGTCTTTATTTAAAATTATGTTTGACTGCCAAAGCGTCACATAACCTGTTGTAATTTCACATTTTTGTTTGGACAGTCAGGCAATAAATTGCTAAAGAAGCCAAAACAAAGCAGCTAACACATTGCTTGCATTTCCATCCCATTTTCCATAGCAGAATTCTAAATTATCTTTTAAAATAAAATTTAAAAAACTCATAGGACAAAACGTTCTTACAGTCTTTGATCAATGGAATCTTTTCTTGGATTTGCTTCTGCAAATTGTGATCAATTGTCATGATCTTGTGTAGTGGTGATTTATCCTCGTGGCTTGGTAAAGGAAGTGACTGGGACCTTGGGATTATGTTCTTCACTTACTGTTGCAGACTATAACTACCTTATGTTTTATAGGTAGTCTGAAGGTTGGTTCCTGATGTTTCTGTTTCCTTTGGTTTGTTCTGTTTCTTGTGGAAACGAAGACTGGTAATGTAGGAAACTCAGGAATGCAACCATTTCTTGCAAAGGTTAGTGGTAGAGACCAGCACAAATGCTAATGAATTCTTTCTTTCAAGACTCAGAGAGTGTGTGATCTCTTAAGGGTTTCTTCCCCTTTTCTTTGAGCCTTTATCATCTAACAGTCCCTGGCTTCTGGCCTTATTGTACAGTGCTCTTCTATTTGATGGCAATATGAACTTGAGCCATTATAACGAGACAGATTCCTTGGGCTGTCTTCTTTGCAGCAAAAAGAGACATGTGATTTTTGTGTGAAAAAATCATGTGTCTGGGGGTGTCTTGAAAAGGGACAAGATGAGTGGCACGAGTGAAACTGAGGATGAAGTTGAATATCATGCATTCTAGTTCTTTACAGTAGAAATAGCCAGGGTTGTGCTGAGCTGAGCATTGGAGTTTCTTAATCTGGGACTGATAATGCCCTTTGATAATTGTACATGTAGGAAGAAGCATTGCTTTCCCCCATCAGCCTGCAGTGTGTCACTTCCATCAGCATGCAGTGACCCTTTTCATATTCTTGCTTTGTGTACAACACACTGCACAAATACTCCTAAAGTGTTCTTGTGCCTCACACCTGGGTTGTGATACGGCTGGACAGCATCAGGGGAAGGTTCCTTCCTACACTGGCATCCATGCTCAATTGGTAGGACTTGAAGTCTGTGTGTTGTGAGGTTCTCTTGCTAGGCATCCTACATTCAGGTCTTTCTGCAGCTTGTTTATGGTAATAACCTACAAAATCCTGTGACTTCAGTAGAAAGAATAGTTTGATCATCCTGATTTGCACTTTCACATTAAACATACAAGGACAGTAGGTGCTAAGATAGGTTAGACTGATCTATGCAGATCTAGTTCTTTGGTTTGCAGGAATAAACTGCCACTCCCGCAAAATTATGTGAAATGGAATATTAGCCAAAGTATGAAGTACAGGTCTGCCTGTTTCCAGTGCTGGACTATGGTATCTCCTTAAGGAAAGGAATCCAGGAGTAGCACTTTGTCCACCTGCAGAGAGTCCATATCCTTCACCATTGTGTCTCTTCCCGAGCTTCTGTTATCCCTGTTACACAGTGAACACCTGCCCCTGGCACTTGAGCCTTGTATTTGTTCTCTTCTGCCACTTGTATCAGCAGAGCTGATGGAGGAAAAGGGAAATAGGGCCGGGGCTCTTTCCACAGTGACTACCCTGTTTTTCAAAGTTCATGTCAAAGCAAAAAGAAGAAATATCTGAAACAAAATCCCAGTGTTTTCTTGGCATTTAATGACTTTTGTAATTCTTTTATCAACGCTTACAGCTCTGCACAAGTGGTCAAGCATTGCATGGACTGTTTCCACTCCTTAGTGATTTTCAAGCATTGCAGGATTTAGGAATATTGTACACCTTTCCACCAGTGTCCCTTCACAGCATGCCTGCAAAGTAGGCAAGTGAACCTTCCTATCTCCCTTTGTATATAAACAGAAGTGAAGTACTTAGTGCTGAGCTTCATATTAAATCAATGACACAGTCATTAGCTCTTGCTTTCCACTTCAAGGTATGATGCCTGCATGGCCTGACTTGTGCAATGGACTTTGTTCCTCATCTCTTCACCTGAAGCCAGCCTGCTCTCATCTGCACATATCTCCTATCAGAGTGTCTCCTTCTCCTTTGTTCTGGGCTCTGTCCAACCTGTTTTATTTCCTCCCAGGAAAAAAATCCTAGCAACAAGATACCACTGAGCACAGCTTTCAGCACCTTAAGCAACTTGCCCTTGTTGCTTGCATGCTGTGGTGAATTGGACAGTTGCCACGGACATATTGTCTCAACTATGTTGTTATAATTGGTGCATTATTATTTTTCTCATTTGTTAACCAACAGAATTAAAGTCAGGGGACCTAGAACTTCCCCCTGCCTTCTTTCCCTGTTTAGCAAACTGTGCACATCAGTAACCACCCACAAAGGAAGCAGCGTGTAAATAAAAAGCCAGTGCTCCCCACCCTTCCCTTCGTTCCACATCCTTTTCTCAGTGCTCATAGAGCCATGACTCAGACTGGGTTTAGAGAAGACAACTTGCTAATCCCCTCCCTGCTACAGAGAATAAAATGGCATTTCATTCCAAGCTCTATTAATGCACTCGCTCCAGGGATAAAGCAGCACTCCCAAAAGGCAGTGGCCAAATTTTCTTTCTGTTGTGTTGTCTTTGTCTTCTTTTGAGTGTTACATTTAGATTAGCTTCTGAGGATTAAATGTTATTACAGTCCCTGAATCTGTTAAGGGGACAGAAAAAAACATCAGTAAAGAGGTTATGGCTTAGTGCAGCACTCTAGATTTATCCTCAAAATGCCGGTTTGGTTTTTTTGTTGTTGTTGTTGTTTTGAGGGGTTTTTTTGTGATTTATTTTCTTTTGTGAGTGTTGACTTATCACTTTTTTAAAAAAAAATATTTATTTTTGTAGTTGTTGCTTTTGGATGCAAGAATTAGTCTGGGTGGGGATATGACTCCAAAAGGTAAAGCTGCAGGAGTTGGGTGAGGGGATTAAGAAGCTGTTAAAAGATAAAATTATTCTGAAGCTGAGTTTCCCTCTGAGATCTCCCTATAGTTTTCAGAACTGTTTTTGAAGCTGCTTACTGATGTCTCTGTTGCTTTGCATATTATTCTGAGAGGACTGCATATACTTTGTGTTGTTATCAAGGAGTGCATAAAGAATGGCAGTATCTTATTCTGGTGGAGATCAGCCGTGAATCCAAGGCAGCTTTCCAATGGAGAAACTGCCAAAGAGATTTACTCCATATAGGATTTACTATGTAAGACTTTCATTTAATGGTCCTAAGATCTTTAAACTTTATGGACATGAGTATTTAAGGTGGTTATGTTAGAGAAACTAGCAAGTAGTATCCTCCTGGCTGAATGTGGAATAGGAAACCACACTGACCCAGTGAGGGTAGGAGAAGAAAGTTCATAGATGGATTGTCTGCTGGAAACAGGGAATGTATGGCTTGCTTTTGGTATTCATGGAAATGAAGATTTTATTGAATTGCACAAGATTTTATGAGGCTGATGGCCCCTCAGTTAAAATGGCAAGATTAACTGGCACCTAGAGAAACCACCTTTTTTTGTTTCTATATGTAGATCTGGAAAGTTTATAAAATGGTTATGTGGTGATACTTCAGTTTGTTAATCTTGAAGTCTACTATGAGGCCTTGGATATTTCAACAGAAGACTGTGCCCAGGAGACAAGGTCTGAAACAGTGATTATATGGACAGTTGTGAAGCCAAAGGAGAAGGGTAAAGACATCATAGTTTTCAAACAAAATTGCTCTGAGATTTCTCCTATCATTAGATTAGATAAATGATTAATTTAGTGTTGAAATTAAGAGCCTCTCCAACAGAGGTTTAAGAGTTTTCAGGTATAAGAGATTGATTCTTTCTGAAAGCTCATCCATAGCCTTACCTCAGCATAGTGCTTTTGTGCCCTGCGATGATAATATCTTCACCAAAACTATTTGACATTGTCCCAGTCCTTTTCTTCCCTTGGTGCTTGGTTGGTGCTAGTTGTTCCTTCTGTCTGCACTGAGTCTGTTTCATAATCTTTAAATAAAGAGATGGGTTATTAGTCAAAGCTTTTCTGTTTCTCACTTTTATAAAGTTGCTCTTAGTAGGAAATTAAAATATTCTCTAAGAGATTA